ATATTGTTTACATGGAAACTAATAAGTTATTAGTTCTATTAGGCAAACTGCAAACAATTATTTTTCTATATTTAAACATTTTAAATTATTTTCATACAAAATGGTCATAATTCCTTTATACCATACATTGTTTATTTTGTATTTTTCTATTTTCTAAAATCAGTGAGTTTAGTTTTCATCTTGCCTAAAACCTGAACATATTGCATTAGTCTATTTAAGCACTCTCGTTTTGACACTAGAAAATACGATAAAAACAGCAGTATTTATTTTTTATACTCTTTGAACGCTTATTTCTCTTAACCTAAAATACATATGAATCTGCTGTCTTCAATGTGATGTTTAGATGAAAATAGTGTCAGTGCTGTAGTGATATCCCAGATTTGACCAATAGTTTTGTCCAGTATATAGAGTTATGACAGAGTTACTCCATATTTCCAACTTCACTATCATGCCTCTAGATATAGGTATAGTAACATTCATGAACCAGTAAACAGAGATAGTTACAGATTTTCTTTTGTTTTAATATCAGCTTTAATATTTGTGTAAGTGTTTACCTAAAATAAAAATAGAGTACTGTAGTGGAGTTTGGCAAAAACGTAACAACTGAAAATGGGCAGAAGTTGAAAATAAAACTTACTTCTAATGGAATTTGAAGCTTCTCAAAATAAAACTGTCAAATTTTAAAAACTGTTACCCAAAACTCTAAGAAATGAAGCCCGGTATACAGTTAATTGTTTAATATCTGGCAATATTAATTTGTGATATTTTTAACACATAAAGTTGCAACATAAATATTTAGTAACTTTGACTGGGAGAACACTACTCAATGCAAAACCACTGTTGCAACTAAAAGGCTTAACTAAGAATACAACCAAAGTATTCATGACAATGCATAATTTCAAAGATGCTAAAAGATTTCTAAAGGAGACAAATATAAAATAGGATCACATACTTGTCAGCTGCGTGACAAACAGTACCACAAGTGTCAGCCATATCATCAACCAAGATGGCAATCTTGTCCTTCACATCTCCAACTAAAACCATGGATGCCACTTCATTTGCTTTCTTCCTCTCTTTATGTATAAGAGCAAAGTCAACATTCAGACGATCAGCAATAGCAGTGACCCTTAAAAGAAACAAATGACTGTAAAATTAGCAGCCGTGAGAATACAATGATAATACAAGTTTTCTACACGACTTTTGAAACACACGTCTACAGTACGAAAACAACAATTTAAAGTGAAACTATTAAATGGTGTTTGTTACATAATATAATTAACCCCCATCTTTAAACTTTAGCCATAACTAAATGCACGTGATCGGAAACATACCATAAAACACAAATTTTCTGCAATAAAACACCCAAATTTTTACAGCTTGGCTTACACTCTAACCTTAAACAGTTAACGTTTTAATGATTTACCTGTCAATATAACGTACATTGGTTATCTAATCATACAGATAACTAAAGATGTCTGTATGAGAAACTGAATATTTAATTATTAATTAGTCACATTTATTTTCTTTATTACTACTCAGTAATCACTAACTATACTTTATATCCATTTTTTTTGTCTGCTAATCTACTGCTATCTTCAGGGAATCCTAAGAACATCTATTTCCAGTGTGGTAATAACAGGAGTTTGATCCTGGGTATTCTTGATAGTCCCCATGAGCAGGGGTGGATTAAGGGTCAGATGGGCTTGGGTTTAAATTTTTCTACAGGTCCTATTATGATTGTGAAGAAAGACTAAAGTCAAAAAACTAAACCTCATAATGAGCCTTTTTGCTTTGAAGAGGGGTACCTAGGTTTTGCCGACTTCTAAACCAGGTTGACTGAGTGTTTTATCAGTTAAGTGGGTATAAAAAGTTTTCTATCACTTTCTTTTCCTTATCTGCATTTTGCATCAAATTATTTTCATATTACTCAATTTCATTTTGTAATCTTCTTCTCTGGCGTGATGCACTATCGCAGATATACGAGACAGTTATACCAGTGTATCTATTATTTTCTTGAATTCTAAACCTTTGTTAGTGTTTTTGTTTCTCCAATGTATTGAAGTCCACATTAACGAGGGATGTTGATTTTTACTATCTATTGGGTCTTTAAATGGTATAATGTACACTAGCTGTAATCATACTGTGTTGTGACTTCTGAATACTGTTCCGCCTCCGTGCTGTTTACACGTCCTTTGTAGGTTTTTGGAAAAACCTTTGACACAGAGGTATACGAATCTATGTGTGTAATTTTTTCCCTACTTAATCTTGCTATTTTTTTCCATTTTCTTATTTATCCAGTGTTATGGGCATCCAATGCAATGAATGCTGCAAGGATATGTTTCTCTTCTAGAAAATTAGCCACTCTATGATGTCTGTCTTTACACTGTTGTGGCATTTTAATTTAGATAAGGTATCTGTGGGTTTCCTATAAACTCTTGTGGAATATGATAACCATCATATCTAGGAATATGAATTTGTATCTTCTTCTATTTCAATGTGAAATGTATCATTAGATATTGTCTGTTCATGAATTCTGAAATCTTTTCTGTGGCATCTGGCGATATTATGATGGTATCTTCAATATACATGATCCAAATCCTAGAGTGGCCATTTTGAGGATGTCAAAACATTCTATATAGAAGTTACAAAGTACCAGTGATAGGCCTAAGCCCAATACTAAATCTCCTTGTTGTTTATGTTCATATTTAAAGAGGCTATGTTGAGGTTAATGAGTACCGGTGATAGGGATGAGCTTATGATTAGGCCTCCCCATTGTTTATCTTCATGTTTGAAGTTGGCTACGCTGAGGTTACTGAGTGCTGGTGATAGTGGTGAACTCATGCTTATGCCATCTTGTTATTTATCTTCATGCTTGAAGTAGGCTATGTTCATACAAAAAGCTGAGTTCAGCTACTGTAGAAGTTATCGGTTTGGTATATTACTGAAGAGCTATGATATTTTTAAGTTGTTGGTGGACATCTGTAGTGTTTCAAGGGTTGGGGATGTTAATGAATAACTTGGATACATGTGAGAATGTTAATAACAATATAATATCTACAAGATATCTAGCTAAGGGGTGGCATGGTGAATATCTCCAGTTGACAAAGTAATGGAGATGGTAGCCTTGCTTGAGAATCTTTGGTAGGTCAAAGATGTGTGGGGTGGTGCTGTTATTTGACTATTTCTGTTCCAAGTTCTATCTAATATTTACTGAGGAGTTGATTAATTTCTGTTCTCTGTGTAAGAAGTTGGGTTAGACTTCACTTTAATTGTGTGACTATCTCGAAATAGAGCTTGGAACTTGATGCTACGTTCCTCTTTGCTAGGTAAAATTATTATGGTGATGTCATTCTTTAAGGTACTGAGGGCAGCTTTTTTTAAAATACTTTTTAAATAGTGGTGTTTAAATTTCATGGCTTTCTGGACTGCTCAATATATCTTGATTCTGAATACTTCATTTCCTCTTGTGGTAGGCTATATTAGAGTCACATACTACTTGTTTGTAGCTAAGTCAGGGATGGGTGATTTGTTATGAGTTAGGGCAAAGTTTAGTCCTTTACTTTCTTCAAGTACTGTTTATTTAAGTTTATTAAGGTGAATTTAGGCATATCTGTAGTGTTAAGACACTTCATGTTTTGAGAATTGAGGAGTGAATTTAGTTTCTTTATGTACCTTTCTTTAGTACATGTACATGTTGGTATGATGATTAGTTGTGCATATCTTGATAGTCTTATATTGCATCAACTATAGTCTAATATAGATCATTAATGTTATGCTGTCTTGTGGTCAGATGAATTTCCTAATACACGCAAACATTGGCATGAAGATTAGTTGTGCGTGTCTTGGTAGTTTATGTTGTCTGTTGTATTATCTACCTTCCAACATATAACGTTAATGTTATGCTGTGTCACATTTACATGAACTTCCTTAGTACTCGCATGTATGTATGTTGGTATGATAAGAAAGTGGACAGGACTTGAACAGATGCCAGTTTAGTTGTTAAGTTATTGTGAAATTTAACCCAAGTTCAAGTTTTCATGACAGGAAAGTAGACAGGACTTTACAGTCATTGGTTCAGTTGTAGTGAAGTTTAACCACTGCTGATTTCACAGAGTTTAACTTGTTATTATAGAAAAGTGATGTGGAATTTTCAGAAATATTACATGATAGAACTTGACTCTTTCTGACAACAGCTAAAAACCTAGTTAACAATGAGGGTACAGTGCATTATACTCATTACAGTTATGGCAAGCTTAAACCAATCCTGATATCAAGAAAGTTTTCATGAAAGGTTGGAAAATGAAGAGAACAGTTGTCAGTTCAATTATATAATTGTGAGGCTTAACAACTACTAACTCTACTGAATTCAAGTTTTCATCATAGTCAATTTATTACAATTATGAAATATCTCTTTATGTTACTACTAGTCATACATGTATTTCTCAAAATCATCATTGGCTGAGGCAGTAGTCTATCTACAGCTTTGTCTAGTAGGGATTCTTATCACTCCTAAATGTTTTTTTTTCTATAAGGCAGTGACTCAGTAAGCAACTGATGAAAGCCAAAGAGTAGGGAGAAATTTTATAATTCAGTTAATATTCACTTTTGATCAAAGCAATTTACCTTCATGGATAGGAACTACAAATATATATACCAAGCTAATTAAGTAAAATTTTCAAACTATATTACTCGTAATGAGTATAATGCACTGTTCCATCAGTTGTGTACCCTCATTGTTAACTAGGTTTTTAGCTGTTGTCAAAAAGAGTCAAGTTCCATCATGTAATATTTCTTGAAATTCTACATTCACAAAAATATATTTGAATTTTATTTATATTAATCAGGAATTCATAGAGAAGTGTGGAACTGAAACAAATAAATTAATTTTTGATAGTTTTTTCAGAAAGGGCAAAATTAATATTGTTTTAGGTTTTGTGTTTTATCTAAAAGAAATTGTCTTCTTTGTTTTGGTCTTTTCTTGAAAAACTAAGAAGCTCACTGTTATTCATTTGAACATATTTTAAGTCAAGAAGAGCCTCAGCTTTCATTAATGAGCACCATAAACTCCTCCAGCTTCCATGGGACTGCTGAGGTCCTTGTTTAGATCACCTTAAACTCCTCCAGCTTCCATGGGACTGCTGAGGTCCCTGTTTAGATCACCATAAAATCCTTCAGCTTTTATTGGATTGCTTAGGTCCATGTTTAGATCACCTTAAAGTGCTTCAGCTTCCATGTTTGGATGGAATTAACTAAAATGCTGTTTTTAAAAAATTTGTTACAATGTTTTGTTACTTATTATCCATGGTAAGGAAGTATACAAGTTAGTTACATTGAATTACGGGTATTCTTGATGTTTATTATGTAGCCACTGTCTTGAATTTTCAATGTTCAATTTTGTAACCATAAATGTCTATACAATGTATGAATTATTTTAAATAAATCAAATTCTACCACCTGAAAATTTATCAAATGTTCATCAGTTTTGTACTTTTAACAGGAAAAATAAATTTTCTCATTTTTCTCATTATCCTTCTGGTGAGAATATTATTACGAAAAAACTTAACATAAACCTTTTCATTACTCAGTCTTGAAACAGACATCAGGAAAATAATTAACTTTTTCAACTTTGAATGAATTTTTTTTCTTACCTTTTAGCTCCTCCAGCATCTGGAGAAACTATGACACAACTCCGCCAATCTGTGATATTTTCTTTTATCCACTTTAACACTGCAGGTTCAGCATACAAATTGTCAACTGGAATATCAAAAAACCCCTAAAGAAGACAAATATGTTAAATATTGATGAAATATGAACCAATTATGGTCAAGTGTTTTCATCTAAGCATCTGAAATGTAACTATTTCTAATAAAAATAAATTCAAGAAAACGAGATGAACAGCTGACTGCATAAGATAAGCAAGATATACTAACGGTACACTGTAAATCTAGCCACCTAGCAGTCAACATGTAACCTGCATGTCACATGATAAACAGGTTACTAGGTGTGATAACCTAATGGTACACTGTAAATCTAGCCACCTAGCTAGCAGTCAACACTTGACTGCTTAGGTGGCTAGATTTACAGTGTACCATTAGGTTATCACACCTAGTAACCTGTTCATCATGTGACATACAGGTTACGTCTTTTTAAAAAAAATTCTTATAAATATCTTGTTTATAAAAGAATTACAACTGCAGACAGCCTAAGTGTTGAGTGTATAGTTATTTCTGACATCATAAACATGCAATTGTTGAAATATATTCGTCTTCATGGTTGACTTTTCGTGCACAATTAGTTTATTGTACTTATCACACCTATTCACTTGTTCATCAGATGACATACAGGTTACACGAATTCTTTGTATAAACAAAGGTATAAATCTGTAAATCATTTGTTCTGCTTGTAAATTACATGAAATAATAATAATTAAACAATAACAGTTTATTCATGACATGTCCAAGCAAACTCCCATCCCTGTACATAACATGTACTGGCCAATCTATCATGCAATCAGCATTATTCTCTACTTGAATAGAGTTGTTTAAACATTTGTTAAACAAAAGGTAAAAGCTTGGAATGGTTAGTTCTTTCATTGGGTGTGTGTCTGTGGGCCAGACTAGTCTCGGAGAATTCCATTCCTCATCAGTGACCCTGGACACTACCACCAATGAAACTTCAGACCAAACCAAGCCTTTATAGTACTGAGGTTCTCCAAATCTAGTCTGGCCCACAGACACACCCCCAACGAAAGAATAGACCAATCCAAGCTTTTACTTGTTGTTAAACAAATCTATTCAATTATGTACCAGCTGCCTAGTGTCGGCTAACAATATGAAGAATTAAACTGTGGTGGAATGCTACA